GTGTACAACCAGAGACATGAAATGTTGTGCTCTATATGTGTACTATGAATTGAAATGCATTCTGCTGTCATGTATAACAAATTAGAATAAATGAGTAAAAAGAAAAAAAAAACCAATGCAACAAAAACATTTTGATAGGGCTTGTGGCTACAACCAGGGGATATCAAACATGCTAGAATTGCATTTGGGGCTTTAATATTAAATGTCAAACACTTCAAATTTTACAGGCAAAACAAGCATCAATGTATAAGATCTCTTGATTTAATTTTCAAAATGTCTTTCTTAAACTACATACTAGTGGTTTAATGAAACATTCATATCAGGCATGTTTGGCCACAGATGTAAACATGGAGAACTGATTTATACAAAGATATTTAAAATTATGTGTAAGGTTTCTTTCAGACTTAAATAGTATACATAATTCATGCATCTCAAGCTCCTACAATATCAATAGAACCAATTTTATCACTTCCACAGCAGCCATTCTAGAAGATTGCTTTTCCTAACCTGGATAATATTTCAGGCTCCTGCATTTAAAAGCTCTGGTAGGCAACTGCAAGTTTCCAACCTTGTCCTCCCTCATCAGACATGTGGCAGCTTCTATCTTTAGAAACATTTAATAGCACTTTAACTTCCAACATTGCAGGTGCTACCCATTTTTACTTTATATGATTCCTATAAATTGATGACAATCAGAATTCATGCTAATTAAGAGACTGAGTTTATTCTCTTAGGCTGGAAAATAACCCCTTCTCCCTCACCACACACCAGTAGTTAATAAATGATTTTGGTGCAAATGTGAAGTAAATCATGTGTAGGATATAGTCTCCAAAGAAGAATGATCAATTCACTAGTTTCTGAATCTGAACCATTTTAAGCTCCTATCAGCACTAGAAAGAGCATTTGTTATTTCTATTTTGTGTGTCCCTGTAATTCCAGTTTTATTTTATTAAGGAAAAAAACTCACATTCAGGGGGATATGGTAAGGCATAACTATAATCTGTGACTTGTGAAGTGGAGGCAGGAAGATGACAAGTTAAAGGCCAGCCTGGACAACTTAGACCCTATCTCAAAACAAAAAATTCAAAAAGTGCTGGAGATGTAGCTCAGTGGTGGAGCACCCGCCTAGCAATGAGCAAGTTCAATAGTACTACAAACTAACAAATGAAACCTCACCACCAAAACCAAAACAAAACAATAACAAACAAAAAACAAACTACCACATTTCATCGCCCAGTTATTTTAAAGCATTGCAAAATATTCTCAGTTTGCAAAATGATCACTAGCAAAGCCTCTTGGCCCCCTTTTCATGTATTTATGGATATCAAATAACTTATGCAACTATGTTGGCCTTTTAATGACCTTGAATATTGCTTGTTAGGAGAAATGAAAGCTAAATAGCAATGATGCATAGGAGGTCCCCTCAGGGTCCAAATAAGCTTCTTCAGGTATTTTTCAGTGTTTTCTACTATCTAGAAAACAATATTTTGCCACTTAAATTTACTTTTCTCAAGCTGAATTCAAATATTTAATAACCCCTCTCCATATCTACTTTAAGGAAAGAGAATTATGTCCTTGGTAGAAGAAACCAAATTTCCATAATCACCACATTCCAGAATTTATGCTAATGGAAGGTTAGGTTTGAAATCATTCTTTCATATCTTCTTAGGACTGGAAAATCTGAGATATCCTAACTGACCCCTCCCACTTTTGTAAATGAAGAAAGTATGAGTTGTAGTAGTAAAATTATAGTTGGAACCCAGGTTCTGTAGTTCCTAGACCAAAGCTTTTCCAACTATGCCAAGACTGCTAGATGAAGCAGTAATGCAAAGATACATTAAATATTTCAATGATAGTTTTAAAGTGCTTTATGTTTCTCTGAGAATCTGACAAACAGCTATGAATCATCCCCAAGGTAATAGTTTAAAACAAGCCTTGACATATTTTATATAGTCCCCTTGTGGGATACATTCTCAGGTCCCCAGTGGATGCCTAAAAACTGCAGATAGTACTATACAAGCACTATATTTCTACCTTATGTATATTTTCCTATACATACACATCTGTGGTAATTTATTAATTAGGCACAGTAAGAGATTTAAATGAATAATCACTAACAATACATAAGCATCACTACTCTTGTACTTTGGGACCAATAGCAGATAAAGGGTTACTTGAATTAACTACTGTGATATCTTTATAGATGATCTGATAACAGAGACAGATAATAATTGACTATAGAACAGGTAGTATATAGAGTGTGGAAACACTGGACAAAGGAATGATTCACATCCTGGTTGGGATGGATTGGGTAGTGTGAGATTTCACTGTGTACTCAGAAGAGGGTGTCATTTAAAACTTAGGAATTGTTTCTGGAATTTTCCATTTGATATTTTAGGACTCTGGAGTAACTAAAACCACAGAAAGTGAAATAAAATGAGGAATTCAACTCTTCTAATACTGTCCAAATGTCACATCCAAAAGTCTAAAATTAATATTAGCTTTCTATAAAGACACTTCAGTAGGAAAAAAGAAATAATGACAAAGCAAAGAACTTCCAGTTTTTATTTTTTAAACATTATTTAACAAGAAAAATATTCAACCAAATTTAAAAAAATTAGGATGGATTAATTTACAATAAAATAATCAACTTAAAGTAGCCCTTTTATTTAGGGCCAAAGAGGCCAATAGTTCCCATTTAAACAGCAGAATTGCACAACTGATATTGTTACCTATATTTGATGGCACAGAAATAAAAAGTCACACAAATTTCATTGGTACCCACCCTACACTCCAGAGTGGAGTTCAAATACTTGCTTGTCAGGTCAATACTCAGACTTAAAAATCAGTAATATTTTGACATATATCTACAACTAATCTGATGAGAACACTTTAAAAATAATTCTTATAGAAAAAAGAACCTTAAAATAATTTCATGGCACATTAGACTGCTTAAAGAAACAGCAAAGATGAAAAAAAAATACAAGAAATTTTAGTCCCTTTTTTACAGAAACTACCCAAATAAAAATATTTTCCCTAATTAGTTATCCTTGCTTCTTATAATTTACTAGCAGAGATGAATTATAAGAAGTAGAATGCACCAGTTTGGGGTTCTTGGTTGTAGCTGCCAGCTTAAGAGTGCATGACTGTGAATATAAAGCAAAATATGATTATGATCACGAATTCTAGATTGGGAAAAACTCAAAATCTCTTAAAGTTTTCCTTTATCCTTGCTTTCAAGTCATGAAAAAATTCACAGCAGTTTAAAGGATGATGAAAGACTAAACAGGGGGCCCACCAAAAAAAAAAAAAAAAAAAAAAGAGAGATTAATTTTATCTATTACATCCCTAAAGAATAACTAAGTGTACTGTATTACCAAGTTAACATTCTATAGTAAGCTCCTGGAGCAGATACAGCATTTAACAGATTCATTTACAGATTAGGTATGGTAGCTTTAGGCAGAACATCTTATTTTCACACTCTCCAATGTGCAATCTTTAAAAACAAAACCAAACCATAATGGAATATGTAATTTATGACAGCTGGCCAGGCACTTAAATTGGGGAAAGTGACCTTGAGAATTTGAGGTAAAACAATTATTTTCAACAATTACATATTCTAAAAACTGTTTTATACTACACTAACTGAACTTTTCAGCTTTTAACTCTTAAGCATGTCATTCTGTCGCGCCAAAATTCACACTGAAGTGCAACTTCTTAAGAAGCTATTAAAGAACATTTTCAAGTCTGAATTTTGGCCCCATTTCTGTACTTCTGTGCTTACAACATATCTAAGAAAACTATAGATACATACATACAAGGGCTAAGGCCACTACAGCCCAAAAGGAGTAACTATTTTTCTCCCTAATTTGACATTAAATTTAAAAAACTCTTTAGATTCACATTGCTATCACATACACATACACATAAGAGTTCAAGTGAGGTGGTAAGTCTCAATCTAGCCTCAGGAAAATGACAGAGCAAAAGGGGCAGACACAAAGCAGCACAGTTTCATTTGTAGGTGACAACCCTACTGTGAATGCTCCCAGCATTAGCAGTAAGGAGCACAACTCTTGAATTTATTATAATCTGGGCATAGTATATGTTTCTTCTACTGTTCTTGAACTCATTTCCGGATAATGTGGAGTTTGCTTAATAAATGAAAATTCATATTAGAAAACAAAAACCTCAGTAAATGTTCAGACATTAGAACAGTAAGTGTTCATTCTGGAATTAGGCCTTTATCAAAAGTTATCCAAATCTACTTTTCATTAGAATTCCTGGGGCTGGCTATGTAGCTCATGGTTAGCACATGTAAGGCCCTGGGTCTGATCCCCGTGCCACCAAAAAAGAAAGGAAAATTACCCAAGGCATTACCTATAAATGGAAATATCATTCCTCTGCATACTCCTAATAATTAATTACATTTCTATTCTTTCCTCAGCAATCTCAACCCAAAGGCTATTTTATGTTTTGAACAAATTCATCAGCTTTTTTTTTTGTCTACTATGCAGACTGATATATCATCATCTATTTAAAACCCCTCAGAGAATATTATAAATTAAAAACAATTTTTTGAGGCACCCTCATTTTCAAAAAATGAGAAAAAAATATTGGCTTAGTTTCCAAGTTGTTAAAGAAAGAGGGGGAGGTTGAAATATAAAAACTTCTAAGCTGAATTCTCCTTAGAATACCAAACTTTTCTAGTCATGGTAGAGGATTCATGCTTATTAACCTCTTCTTTCCTTACAGGGTTAACAGCAGGCATCCAACAGAACTACTGGCTGGAGTTACTGGTGCAGGGAGCAAATGTGGAATTTTTCTCTGTGTGATGCTACCTGGCTTGTTCAAGTTTTGAAACTGTGACCCCGGTCCATTAGCACCATGCTTTACTCAACTGAAATAATTAATCAAGCCCCTATTGCTGTGGGGTGAGGGGCAGAGAGTAGAGTGAGAAGGGGATTGAGGGCAGTTACATACATCACTAAGAGACTATGATATGCAGTGAAAATGTAATCTGTTAACATACTATATTTGAGGTTTGAAAATCACTGATTACAGCTATAAAATAACATCACACCAAATTGTTATAATATTTGAATAACTGCAAATGTAGAACTTTCTGGTATGACCCAAATATGAATATAAATGGAAGTTCATTGAACATGATATTATCACTAAGCTAAAAGAAACAAATTACATACATTTATAGGTAGTAACCTACCAAAAAAGTGGAGACAAGATAAAAATTAAGTGAAATTATCCATAATTGCTTCCAGTTTCATTTTTCCCCAGGGAAAGCTCCAAAATAGGCTTCTGGAAAACCATCTTCACATACATAAACAATGGCATCTGCTATTGTATATCTTTTCCTTAAAGGTAGATGGGTCATAGATATTCATTTTCAGGTATAATGGTTTTTGACACATCTATTCCAGTGAAGTATTATAAAGAAAGTCTACAAATCACTTCTAGGAAAAAGGCACTTTGTTGTGAAAAGTGGATTTAATTTCATGAAAGTTGAGAAGACTAGGATCGACTCAAAAGTTAGCATTCACTTTTGTATTTTTATGAATACAGTGCAGATGCCAGTTTATAGACTACAGTTGATAACGTTACAAATAAACCAATCTGCAACATTAATTATATTCTTGGTAAAACATTAATTCATGACATTTCTCCAAAAGCTAAAATACGTCCAAGTTCAACAGTAAAAAAAAAAAAAAAAAAAAAAAAAAAAAAAAAAATCACCAGCAGTTGCTACTTTAGCGCTCAAGGAACTGTTTTCAACAGAATTTCATGTCTAGTTTGGTTCTCTGTTTCAGAGCATGAATTGGCTTTCGATGAAAAACATGGGTGGTGGAGGTGTGTTTGTTTCTATAGGGGAGAACCCAGGGTGGAAAACTATTAGGGAATAAAGAGAGATGCATTTCTCTGGTCAGACAACCAAGTGAGGAGGTAGTTATTCTGAGAAATTCTCAAGCAGAGACTGTTGTGTTCATCTACTGAGAGTTGGGGAAGTAGCAGGAGCTTCTCTGAGATGAAGAGAGCAACAGGGATACTTCTCCTCCAGGGAAGTCAGGACCAGGGTATCAGTGCAGCTGAAATAAAAATGGAATGGGGGTAAGTGGCACACACAGTACGAGAAAAACCAGTTTAGGACCTCAATATGAATGAAAATACATTTCCAAACTTGTCCTACCTTGAAAGTGGCTCTTTTTTTGATGACAGAACTTTGTAAATAACTATTAAAAAAAAGAACACACACCATGTCATTATCACTGAGTTTCTATACAGTGATTCTTCAAACTCCTGGCTTAAGAACATGGTATATGTTTCTTCTAATTTCTAATATTATCAAAAATAGAAAGCTATCTGTATGATAATTACATGTTTTAAAAACAGGTTAAACTTCAGTCCTCTCAGAAGGGGTACCATCAGGAAAATATTTGATAGTTATAATTACACAGAAATTCTCAGTTAAATAACAACAGAGTCAGCCAGGCACTGTGGCGCATGCCTGTAAATCCAGTGACTTGGGACGCTGAGGCAGGAGGATTGTAAGTTCAAAGCCAGCCTCAGCAACTTAGTGAGTGAGGCCCTAAACAACTTAGCGAGATGCTGTCACAAGATAAAAAAATAAAATAAAATAAAGGGCTGGGGATGTAGCTCATGGTAAAAGCACCACTGGGTTAAATTCTTAGTAACAAAAACAAAAGAATACCAAATAATAGAATCAGTGACACTAACACTCCTCCAAACTGCCTAATGCTAAAAAATAACATTTACAATTATGTCAAAGTTATATGTCAAATCAGATCACACACTCACCTTGTTACATCACCACACATGGCAACCCCATACAACCTTGAGTTCCATCATCACTGCTGTTGAGTTTTTTCATTCGGTACTGGCGTATTTCTCTTACCAGTGTGTAAAAAGCATCTTCAACACCCTATGGAAAGAAAGAAGAAAGAAAATCTAAGGACAGCTCAACTAACACAATGCAACTTATAAGTTTTCTCATTTATACTTCTTTAAGAGGGATGTAAATTCCAATTACTGGGCTGAGGTTGTGACTCAGCAGTATAGCACTCGCCTAGCACATGCGAGATGCTGGGTTCGATCCTCAGCACCACATAAAAATAGATAAATAAAATAAAGATATTGTGTCCAACTACAACTAAAAAACATTTTAAAAAATTCCAATTACCAATTCACAGGTGATAAAATAGGGTGATTTAGAGGACACCAAGTTTAGTACATTCACAGGCTGATATACAAATAGCATATTTTGTAAAAACAGATTCCAGCAAAGGAAAAAGGATAACATTGAGACACACAGAAAACTACCAGATCTAATGATTCCATTCAGGAGGGCTTAAGCCCTAACAGTGATTGGAGCTGATGGGAAAAGGGCTAATGTTCATAAATATTTTAAATCAAGTCTTCACTAGAAATATGTGTGCTTGTTAATGCAGGAATAAAAATGCCGTACTAGAACATTAGATAAATTCATTTTGGGTTTAAACTGAAAATTAACAACAACAAAAGGATATAATTAGAACTTAAAACAAGGAATGTGAATCTCATCTTAACAAATTCTTGCAAAGATGCTCAAAGCCCTACCATACCTGTCTGGTCTTGGCTGAGGTTTCTATGAACGGAATTCCATAACTCTTGGCCAATTCATGGGCTTGTTTTGTGTCAACTGTTCTTGTTGGCAAATCACACTTGTTTCCTACCAGCACCATAGGTACATCGTCTGAGTCTTTTACGCGCTTAATCTGCTCCCTAAAACAGGGAATATGTCATAACGTAAGAAAAACAAACTTTCAAGAAGGAATAGAATGGTAAGGCAAAAGAGAAATTGGCAAGTTCTATATGGCCCTATTAGCTTCTAGTATTGAATTTCACATTTTTTTGACCACTTATACAAGACCTTGTATATCAAGGAGATTGGTTTAGACTTGGTGCGGTAGCCATAGGGAAGTTGTAAATCTAGTTCATATTCTAATAGAAATGGATGGCTATTCTATGTGTATACTGATGTACATCTAGTTCGGCTCATGGATTCTCCAAAGACACTGACTGGATTAATTGTCACTAGAAATCATACTCTAGATTAAGGTTTGAAGTATAAAAAAATAAAGCCACTAAATTTTTTGACATTCCCTGGGGAATAACAAGACTTAACGAATAGATAATCCACTTTCAAGACAGGAGGCAACCAAATCATTTTCCCAAACAAATTTGTAGATATGAAGAGAAAACACCAGACTGATCCTAATAAAGGGATTGGGGGACTGAAGAAATCTGGAACTCCCAAAGATAGCAAGCACTCTCTTCAATGACAATGCTAAGACCTACCACATAGCAGTTTGGAAGTTGTTGCTCCAGATTCTCTCCACCAACACTGCCCAATAAAACTTTTTTGCGCTGTTGGAAATGGTCTATTTATACTGTTAAACATGGTAGTCACCAGTCATATGTAGCTATTGAGCACTTTATTTCATTTTCTAATGCAACCAAGCAGCTAATTTTCAAATTTTACTTCATTTTAATTTGAATATAAACTGCCACATTTTGCTGTGGCTACCATACTGCACCACTGCTCTAAACTCTAGCTTGGATTACAAAATTTTGTACCTAAACTGCATTCCCCTGGCTGTCTGGAGAACTATTTATAGGTGTGATGGTAGTAGCTTATGTTAAGAGATATCACAGGACAACCTAAAGTACCTAGAACATGTCACTGTGTCAGGTTATTACTCTTCTTTACATTAAACCACACTCTTTGAAGATCAGAGCAATTTCTTTTTCTGGTGTCAGTATAATTTTGCTTCTTCTGAGCAACTGATTTGTTTTCAGCAGATCCTGCATCTTTTAGCTTCTCTTTTCACAACAGCTGTCAAATTTGTAGTCTAACTCTTCAAGGTCACTTCAAATACAGTTCCAAAATAAGCTCATCCCTAACTCCTCTTTATTTTCTCTTTGCCTCACTTAAGCCCGTTTCATTAGTTTATCTTGCTATACAGGCATTTTTACAAGATGCTTTAAATACTCTTTTGTCTAGGGCAGGGCACAGATAGAAAAATGTAAGGTAGAAGAAAATTCTAAGGAAAAAGAAAATGACTTCTAGAAATTCAATGAATATTTATTAGATGCTTGCCAAAAGTTGGGCATTTTTAAGTGCAGTCATCCCTTGATATTCATGGGAAACTAGTTCCAGGATACACCCACAATTTATACCAAAATCTCATGATGCTCATCTCTTATATAAAATGGTATAGTATTTGCATACAATCTATGTACATCTTTCATCTATACTTAAGTCATCTCTAAACTACTGATAAAAATACAATATAAATGCTATTTAAAATATTTGTTTATATTGTTTAGGAATGATAATATGAAAACAAGTCTATAGATGTTCTGTACAGAAGCTATTTTTTCCAAGGTTGGTTGAATCTGAGGATGTGGAACATTCAGATACAGAGAGCTGAGGATACTAAGAGTACTTCCAGAGAAAAGGAAATCGGGAAGTAAAGAAGGTCTAGGAAAAAACAAAACAAAACATTGAATTTAGTTGTGGATCAGTTTCCTTCTGAGAGCAAATATTTTCACAAATTGGGGGAAAAAAGCCAGGACTCAAGGAAGACCATTTACAAAGTATTTACTATGGGCCAAGTACTCTTCTGAGTGATTTACATACTTTTTTTGTGGGGGGTGGTGGGTACTGGGGATTGAACTCAGGGGCACTTTACCACTGAGCCACATCCCCAGCCCTATTTTGTATTTTATTTAGAGACAGGGTCTCACTGAGTCACTTAGCACCTTGCTTTTGCTGAGACTGGCTTTGAACTTGCGATCCCCTACCTCAGCCTCCCAAGCCGCTTGGATTACAGGCATACACCACGGTGCCCAGTGATTTACATACTTTTTAATTTGTTTAATCTTCACAACTTTAACAGGTAGATACCATTATCTCATTATAGTTAAGAAAACAGGACACACAGATTCAGTAGTATGCCCCAAAGTCACATACTTAATAAATGATGAAGCTCGATTTCAACCTATTCGGAGTCCATATTCTTAACCACTATATTTTCTGCCTAAATACTGAGCTAAGAAAAAGGAGCCCTGGATTTTTGGGCCTGGGTCTACTAACAGTGCAACTCCAAAAACCCAATAAACCACTTTCTGAATTCTTTAATTTTGTAAAATAAGAATGTTGCACTAGAAATTTTTATAATCCAATTTAGCTTTGAAATTTTATGGTTCTAGGAGAAAGTCCATCTTTATGCTCCTTTGCCTTTCTTCCATTTTTGATCTATACCCTATTTGTTTCTTCCTATCATTTTGTCTATTTCTTCCAAAAAGACACTTCTCTGAAATTCCTTTATGATCTCTAGTTGAACTGTCTCATTTATGTATTGTCAAACAGTAGAAAGTCTCATTTATGTATTACCAAACACTACAGTAACAGTATACTATACAGAATTCCAGTATTTCAGTAAAAACCCCAGAATCTTAATGTCAAACAACCTAAAACCAACTCTTCCCATAATTAAAAAGCTGTATCTTCCCTAAGTAAGGTATCCTCATTCTCCCACAAAACTTCAGAAGAACACACTTAAGATCATCCTTTCAGAAAAAATAATGTTCCTAGTACCTGTAGAGGTTAATATCTGCAAATGATTTGCTATTATTGATGGCAAATACACAGAGGAAGCCTTCGCCTGTCCTCATGTATTGGTCTCTCATGGCACTGTACTCCTCTTGTCCAGCTGTATCCAGTATGTCCAATAGACAGGTTTCACCATCTATTACCACCTGTTTTCGGTAAGAATCCTGGGAGTATGGAGGGTTGGGGGGCAGGGAGAGAGGGAAATTCAATTTTTATTAAAAACCACAGGGCATGCAATGTTACTGTCAAGGATAAATAAGCCAACTATTCAAAACCATTTCTGTTTATCTGAATTGTCCCTCAAACTGTTAATATATAATCACAAATGTATTAATGTCACCTTAGGAAAAAGCTCCAAATCTTAAACAGAAAACGAGGCCAGTCTGTTTCTAGAAAAGATAGAGAAGAAAGTGTGTGTGTGTGTATATATATATATGTATATATATATATAAAATCTGTGTGTATGTATATATGTACATATATAGTTTATAATTTATTACATATATTTACTTATATTACATCTATACATATGTATGATGAAATATATAATACATCTATATATGTACACAGATGTAATATATAAGTATATGTACATAGATATATAAATAAGTTCAAATGACAGCTCTATTGCAATTAGGAAAACTACAGAGATTAAGTTCATTCATACTGTATTTTACTAAACTATGAACTAGATGGTTTTACTTGAGCTGTTTATTTTGCTTTTAAGATTCTAAACATAACTAACCTAGCCCTGGATAATGAATCATTTGTGTTATGACTAAATATACAAATACCTTTTGTTGCAGGGAGATTACAATACCACAAATGTTTTTCTCATCATAACAAATGATAAAAAAAATATATAAAAAAATACTTCTAGTGGGGTGTGGTAGTGCACACCTGTGATCCCAGCTACTAGGGAGGTTGAGACAGGAGGACTGCAAATTTAAGGTCAGCCTCAGCAACTTAGTGAGACCCTGTCTCAAAATGAAGGGCTGGAGTATAGCTCAGTGGTAGAGCACTTGCCTAGCATGCACCAGGCTCTGGGTTCAGTCCCCATTACTGAAAAAGCAAAATGTTAAAAACTTCCAATTTGGCTTTATGGCAATATTTTGTGCTTCAATAGTCACACTTGGAAGAACTATTCTATGGTACTGGGAACATTCTATATTGTTATTTGAGTGGAGGTTACATGGGTGTATACAAATATAACCTGAGCTGCACACACATGAGATTTATGTATTTTATTTAAGTAAATTACCCCTCAATAAATAAAACTCTGGAAAACATTTCAACCAATTTTTAATAGTGAATATATCAGAATTAGTTTGCATTAAACATTCAGTAGCCAGCTGGCAGGTGGGGCCACGGCAGGATCATTTAGACATTTCTAAGTTGCACAACTACAAAATCTTTCATTTAAAGAGTCTTAAATGTCACTTATTGAAGCCAATCTGTAACATGAACTCCCAAGATAACAAAAGAATCCTGAAGTACATACTAATAAGCGATGCTTTACCATTCACAAATAATTTAAACATTTATTTGATTTTTCACAATATTCCTGTGTGGTAGGCAGGACAAAGTTCATGGCACTTTAATACATGCAGAAAATTAGGTTAAGAGATTTCCTCAATATCACAAAACTAAATAACCTTTAAACGGGGACTGCAATCCTAGGCACAGTGACTCAAAATCTCAAGTTGTTTCTACTCCAATTCAAATCTGACTTTCAGGAGCCTCTCCTAGCAAAGAAATGAGAATTGAAAAATATCCAGATCTGTGAATTCTTTATCTCCATCCTCTTTCTTCTACAAAATCAATCTATTTACCTGTGGTAAGCATTTCTATTTAATCCCCGGGACCCCCTCACCCCTATCACACACACTGTGAGACAAGGTCTTGCTATGTAGCCCGCACTGGCTGAGAGCCTGTGATACTCCTGTTTCAGCCTCCCAAGTGGCTGGGGCGGGCTATCATGCCTGGCTCCATGCGTTTCTATTTAACAGAGCTGCCATATATAAAGAAACTGAATAAATTCAACACTGAGAACTGATGTAAACTAAATTTTTAAAGAAAACCTTCAGCAGCTAATAAACTCAACAAAGTTTTACTTTATTGCATCACTGAATGCAGTATCTAAAATTACTTTTTGTTCTGATTTACTTACAAAGGATAAAGGAAATGGGTAAGGGGAAAACTGATTATGAGAGCTAGAGTCACTTGGTAGACTACCACTGGGCCTCACCTCTATGGTGGGATCATATTCATCCACAAAATGGTTCTGGATTAGCTGAATTGTCAGTGCGCTTTTCCCAACACCACCTGCTCCAACCACCACCAGTTTGTACTCGGTCATTTCACACCAGCAAGAACCTGTGGGAAACCGGCAACTAAGTGGCAAGCCAAATCTACAGTACTTCAAAGCTTCCAAAATCAACAGTAACTAAAACAAGAGTTTGAAGTGTATTAGTTCCATACATGTTCCCTTCCACTTAACTTCACAAAGTGATTCAGGGACACAAAAATACTGGCAGATTAGTGTGGGCTTCGGATTTCTGGCTTCTTGCTACTCCCACCCGAGTCTAGTTTTCCACTGTGCTTGGGTTCCGCCCTTACCTTAAGGTAAAGGAACCCCCCCCCTCCTTTCTACTGCTTGTGTACTTCTTCTCAGCCCTGGGGCGGTCTCCGGCCGCGACCCCTTCCCATCGTTTCCACAGAACGCCCCACGTAAGGCCCCAAAGGAGGAACCCCCGCCCAAGGCCTTTGTCTCCGGTTCCTTGATTCCGCTCCATACCGGGCATGAACGGGAAGCCTGTATGCTCCAAAGCCCAACGCCCTAAACGTCAGAGGCCTACCTCAAGCTCCGCTGCCCCCGCTTCAGACGGATTTAGGACGTCCACCGGGAAAAATGCTAGAGACCCCGGAACCGCCATGAACAGCCCCCACCAGGGAGCGGCACTTCCGGCCCCGCCCGCTACGCAATCAGTATGCGCCTCGGGCGCCCAAGCCCCGCCCCAGCCACGTGGGCATGCGACCCAGGAGTCACGCGGCAGGCCGCACCCAGACCCGCCCCTCCCACGCAGGACGTTTCAATAATGAAAGCGCTAGGTGCTAGTGTCTCAAAAATCAGTAAAACTTTATTCGCTTCCATTCTTTCGCCATTAACAGAAAACTGGAGAAAGCAAAATGTTTTGTGTTTACAAAGATAAATGGCCTCTTTACCCAGAGATCAAAACCTCAAACGACAACGGGGAAGATAAAAGCGCCCTCCCCCACATCCCCTGAGCTGACCCTTGTCATCTTAGACATAGCCTTCAGTCCACTGGCCAGGGACCCTGAATATGGCCAATTTAAGATGAGGGCCAAGAAATCAGACCAATCCATTCCCGTGATATAAAGTTGAACAGAAGCTACACCAAGGGTCAAGTGCCTGTATACTACAGGACACAGGAACCAGGCTGCTACTTATAAAAAAAACAAGATTCATTTCAGGCACAACTTTTTTATTTTTTTTTTCTCGTTTTGTTTTTAAATCAGTAAAAGAAACTGGGTCCTAGAAGCTGCAGTGATCTAAGCAGCAGCAAGTTTGTGCATTCGTCCTTTTTTTTTTGTTTGTTTAAATATGTTCAAATTATCACACTGCTGGCACACTTCATTTGCACGAAATTCTGCACCATATATACTAATTGTAGTAAAGTTATTTGCCCCCCATCCCAGGAAAAAAAACTACTCTGGAAGATAATTTTCACTGATATCTAACCAAATTTTGTTAAGTGGATTGTGACAAGATTATAAATGATATGAAAAATAACATTTTAACATTTGGCCATCAACTTAAGAAAATGGTTTGCCTATACAAATTTTTGTAATTTTTAAAAGGTAATATATCCTACCCTCATATGGTCCTCAGAATTAAAGCATAATGAACAGGAAAGAAAAGGAAAAGAATGCCACTGAGTGCTAAGGCAGAACATCTTGCCAGAAGTAATGAAGGTAGAGTATATACTAAATATCAAGTGCAGAATTTCATAGGGCCAACAAGATAACAGTCTGTATTTTTCACTTACACAGGCGAAGTGGATTTTGCAATTACCAGTTGCGTTAAATGCACCAAATAAAGCTCCTAAAATTGATACTATAAGGCGCCACCTTAAGTTTTCCAGGCTGCAACTGTGCATAATTTTAAAATGGTTTCTTAAATTTATTTATTTTTTTAAACATAACACGAGGAAGGTGTTAAAACTGGTGTAATAGCTCAATAGAATAAGTATTCCAGATTTTGGGAGGGATGAAGAGGGAGATATTCAGAACCCTTCACCAGAATCCCCCCAACTTGATCATAGTGGGTTAATGATGTGCTTTATGGATGTGGTTAGTCAATGACACCAGCTTGACGAATCTTTCTTTCTGCACCAAATCCCTGTGAACAAAATAAAAATTGCCATTAATAACTTTGGTGCACCAAAATAAGTACATTCACAACTCGCGCTACTTAAGTATTATTTTTAATCACTTTAACCATTACCAATTCTTTATTAGAGGAGGAAAATCCATTTTTAAGTGCTCTTGACCATTATCCAAGCTATGTAGAAAGTATTAAGAAAAGCAAGAACTGTGCTTCTTGATTAGGGGCTAAACCAACATGTAGAGAATCCAAACTAGTTATAAGCAATACTGAAGCTTCTTGCTTCATTAAGTTCTCTAATCTATGTTGAAATAAGACTTCAAATAGTATGTTGGTCTGTCAGTTGTCCTCCCTTTTGTGGAACCATACCATTGAGTTATCTGGTCCCCTTGGCTGACGAAGAACCATTAGGCGAGGAGCACTAGCATCATCCAGGGTGATGTTCTTCAAGCGATTGACCAACCGATCAGGTCGAGGAGCTGCAACGGCCTTGGGGCCCTCACTGTAAGGTGAGAACAATCAACACTTGGTAGGAAGAAAGTATTTGGAGAGGAGTGTGTTTCCTACTTAATTGCTTAAATGACTCACTTTTAATGGGGACTGTTGCCTCATCTAGAATGCTGGCAATACAAGACAGACCAGTTTGTGTGTGTGCACCCCCCCCCATTCAAGTAGTTCCAACTATGTATGATCTGGAAGAATCATTTCAGTGACGGTCAATCCTACACTTGTTAGTTCCATAGATGCATAAAACAAACTAGTTGATGTAGAAAACCTTAGAAAAGTGAGATATGAACAAAGAGTTTTAGAGAATCCCAGTTCCTACAATGGTGAAAACATTGAGATTTAAAAGAAAAGAAAAAAAAAAAAGGAGAATCAGGATGAGAAAGATTTGAAAATTAGAATTTCAAGCACCATATATCCTGGAAATGTCCTGATGGAAGAAATAAGCAAATAAGCAGAATTCTTTAAGAACAAGGACTACATAAACTTTTTATATTTAACATCTACCATATATAATGCTAGCATAGCATATATAAGTGTTTCAACTGGCCCAGGTTTATGAATGTTAAGTCCAGGCAATAAAAACTAGAGGAAAAGAAGATAATACTACAGGTAAAAAGCATGAATACATAACCAAAAATGGCAAAAGGGCAGGGAATAAAACCAGAATGGCAAAGTTAAAAAAAAAAAAGTAATAAAAGGACAGACAACAGAAATTATGAGAACCCTAGGTGATTACTAATCCAACTACAATCAAAAAAACTCACCAGACTCGCCAAACATTACAGGCACTGCACTTGCCAGTACGCTGATTAAGAATCACTGAGAACTCCACTTCATCTCCTGCCTGTAGCTCAATGCCATCTTGAACTTCTTTCACATGGAAAAAGAGCTTCTTGCTATCTCCTACTTCGTAGTTAATGAAGCCAAACTGGGGAGGAGGGGTGGGGGAGGGGGATAGGAAGGGAAAAAAAACCTCACAATCACTGCCATTCTGAAATAAATCTTTGTCTGAAACAAAGATTGCCTTGTTTCTTCATATATTATTATCAACTAATTTTCTGAATTAGTAATCACTAGGGAGCCCCTTACTTAAACCTATAACTCATTTTGATCCCTTCTAGATTTAATCAGTTAGGTTTATGGATATTAGCCATGAAAACTGTTATATTCACTGTACTGATGTTGAAAAATGTTTCCTCTAAGAATTCTAAGGGATGAACCAAAGGTATCAGTAATAGGACTAGTTTTGTTTCTCCTAAGCTTATTTATTTTTTGGTACTGGGGATTGAATCCACAGGTGCTTAACTGCTGAGCCACATTCAGAGCCCTTTTAATTTTTTGAGATAGGTTTAAGTTGCTTAGGGCCTAGTAAGGCCCTAAATTATTGAGGCTGGCCTCAAACTTGTGATCCTCCTGCCTCATCTTCACAAGGTGCCAGGATTATAGGTGTGTATCACACCCAACTCCCCTAAGCTTATTTCATAAATACTCTAAACACAATTTCTTTGGGTGGTCTGCAAAAGAAGCTCAGAGCATTAAGTGTACAAAAATCTCATAATTCTGGGGGATGAACTTGATTAACTTTATGTGCATGTATGAATATAGATATTGAACCCTATTATTATATATAAAATACTAAGAAGAAATAAATTTCAAAAACTCTTATAGCTCCTTTACTCTGGAACTCTTCAAGTTTACTTTCTGCAATATACAGTATTAGTTATGAATAATCACTCTTATTTTCTCTTTACTAATACAGTCACTTTCTTTTGATTTTCCTTCCTATTTTTATAAGCTACCCCGAATTAGTAAAAATAAAATAAAAATCAAATCAAATAAATGTCAAGGTTTTAGTTCAGAGGTTCAAATTCATATCCAGAGATGCTGTACTTACCTGATCTTTCACACACTCTACTGTGGCCCTGCGCAGGGGCGTGATGTTATAGGCCATAGTCTGTGCATTTTGGCCCAGGACACACAATTGGAACTTGACACTCTCCCCTTTCTGCAGGCAATCCCCTTTATTGGCCATTCCGACTATGCCAAATGGATACACCTCACCTTTCATATCCCCTGTAGAGAAACAGGCACAAAGTCTAAAAGCTAATATTTTACAATAGTACTCTGCATCTATTCTAAATATAGGTGTTGGAAAATGTGTCATGAGAAAGTTTACTTTTAAGCTTAAAAGGAACTCCAAATGTTAAATACTAAACGAAAACAAATGAGAACTTGATCACTTAATTAGTACTTTACTAGCTAACAAACACTTTTAAAATGCATTCATGAACTTAAAAATATAACAAACTTGAAATCTTATTAGCTGGATTTAAGCATTATTCTCTTCCAGTGTACAATATGAACCAAATAGACAAAATATTGCTGACCCATACCTAATCAGAAAGTAAACCAGTTAGACACAGGCAAACAATGCAGAACAGAAAACCCTTCTTTGACATTCCACCTCCTAAGCTTATAAGACATCCTGTCTATCACAACTACTCAACAGTGCCGCTGTAGTGATATAGCAATCAAAGAAAATATGTAAACAAACGAATGCTATTTTTTTCAAGAAAACTACAAAAACATGCCATCTTTTTTTCCCTCCTTGAGTTCTGCCCTACAACAGTAAAAAATTTTCTAGAGGTTAGTGCAGGATACAGATAATAAATGAACCAATGAGTTTGGGTGCATATCAATTTAGCACCCAGATAAATCCAATGAACTAATAAAAGAGAAGAGAAAAATAGGCAAGAAATGGAAGCTTTGGAACTGAAAACACTTTTTGGCGGGGGGAGTGTTTGCTGGGGACTGAACTCAGTGGCATTCAACCACTGAGCTACATCCCCAGCCCTATTTTATATTTTACTTAGAGACAGGGTTCTCACTGAGTTGCTTAGCACCTCACTTTTGATGAGGCTGGCTTGGAACTTGAGATCCTCCTGCCTCAGCCTCCTGAGATGCTGGGATGGAAACGTTTTTATCATCCTGTTAACACACAGAAGTAAAGATTTAAAAAACAAATATATGGGCTGGGGTTGTGG